CCCCCCCCCCCACTCTCTCAAAATAAATAAATTTAAAAAAAATTTTTTTAAATAAAAGAAGTTTTTATATATAATTTTCCAGATTTTATCCAACCTTGTGCACAGATAGGATTACATCAAAGTTGTTTTAAAGAGATGCCTATTTATCCTCACTTTAAGGGTCCTGAAGACTTGCTTTTATGGAGTCCTTGTGTTATCAAAACAAGTCAGTCCCAAAACTGGTTGAACATCCAAGTCTTTCCACCCATCCTGGATTTAGGGAATCAGAGGCTCCATAAAAGATCTGTATTTACAAAACAAACCAACAAAATTCCCTGGACATTTCAATACCCTGTTGTTGGCCCTGCATTTGGGAAGCAGATCTATCTGAGCTTTGAGCAGACAGACTGATCAGCTCAGAGCAGAAGAGACTATTTGGGGAGGACAACCTAGAAAACATGAGTTGCTTTAAGATTATTGAAAATCCAGTCTTCAGTTATTACCTTGATGGGAATTTGTTTGGTCTAATCTGCTTTGTGTCTGGACTGGGTAGTCATGATTGTGCACATTGCAGAGGCTGAATTTTATGAACAGGGGAAACAAGGTGGCAGGAATGTGTGGCTAATGATGGTGACGTTCCACCTCTCCCACTGTGCACACGTCACTTCAAATTATGCATAGGTCACTTTAAATGGGCAGATGCCGCTGGTGTTCTAAATTTTAAAGTGAAGTGGCTCCTGTGTTTATTTTTCAAAGAATAGAAGATGTGTTCCAGCTATAATGTATTCTAGGAAGCTTCCATTTCTGTATACCCACTCTAGTGTGGAAAAGAGGAATTGTTTCTCCCTGGGCATGGAGGAAAGTGACAGTAATGTGACTAAATCCGTGCAACAGCAAGATGTTTAAACAAGGAAAATTGATAGCAGGCAATTCCTGTTGTCCCACATAACTTTCTCCAGAGCCATTTGACCTTGGCCACATTTCTGTTTCCTTCTACATTTTAAAATTCTGATCTAGTTACATACATTGATGTTGAAGCAGCTTTCTCTGTGAAGCCTGAAGATTCAAGGAGAGCTATTATTCTAATGAGAAGCTGTCAAAGAGGGATAAAAAAGTTTCCTCTATCCTCTTAGGTTCTTTCTTTGGGGCCCTGCAAACCAGACTGACTACAGATTAACAAGAGAAAAGAAACAGAGTATATTAACACATGCATCATGCATACACATAGGAAAAATTCAGTGATGAGTAACTCAAAGAGACAGTTAGAACTTGGGCTTATATAGCATCTTAACAAATACATTTGTAATTAAAATACATTTGTAGAGAAGTGACAAAAGAAAGGAAGATGTTTTAGACTTCCAAGGGTGGCAAACTATCAGAGGGTAAATGCATATAGAAACTAATGAAGGTTTGTGTGGGTCCTCCTTCGTGGCCATAGGGGGTTTATGGCAGTCCTTACGTCACTGTTTCTGCTTTGAGTCAGATAAGGGAAGCTCCTGGAAGGCTTCTTTCTGCATCTGTTGAATCTCAATTGTCGTTAGTGCAATAATCCTTATGTCAAAGTGGTATATTTGGGGAAGCACATTTTGATACCCTATATTGTTCTCTCTGAGGAGGATGGTGGGAAGACAGTAAAACTTCACCTATAATGATATAAGTAGAGACCAAAAAATTCAGGCACATACAAAGCAGGATGGATCCTTGCAAAGTTAATGAAGTGAGAATGGGGGATGGGAGCAAATTGGGTATTTTCTAAGTACTTGCACTGGGCAGTTATTACAGGGATTACTGTTTTTATTTACTGTGACTATTACACTAATACCTGCATGACATTGTGTTTGATATCCATATGAATTTTTCTTTCATTTTTTTTCTTCAGCGTTGAAGGTAGATTTTTAGATTATTGTTTGCAAACTAAGTGTATCTGCCTATAGTCTTCTAGGTTATACTTTCAGGCTCTAAAACTTAGCAGTCTTTTTCTTTCTCCTAGTAACTGCCTGTCACTGCAATTCCTTGGAGTTTGGAAAATAGAGAATTTATGCTAAATGAACCCTTTGTTGTTTTTTTTTTTTTAATTTTTTTTTTTAACGTTTATTTATTTTTGAGACAGAGAGAGACAGAGCATGAACGGGGGAGGGTCAGAGAGAGGGAGACACAGAATCCGAAACAGGCTTCAGGCTCTGAGCTGTCAGCACAGAGCCCGACGTGGGGCTCGAACTCACGGACTGCGAGATCATGACCTGAGCCGAAGTCGGCCACCCAACCGACTGAGCCACCCAGGCACCCCTAAATGAACCCTTTGTAAGAGTTATGTCCAAAGAAAGGAAAATAGAATATAAGATTTGGGATTTTATCCATGTACACCAGTCCTTGGGATTCATTCCCACTATCACATAGAAGATCATCTGTTGTATTAAGTGTGTTGAGACCTTGTGCCACTCTCTGTGTGTATTGTTTACTAATTATGCTACCATAAAATGATCTTCCTATGTTCCCTTCTGCCAACTGCTCTTGCTTATTTAAAGATTTTCTCTCCATTGTTGTTTAATTATCCAGCTTTTGCCTGCTTGACAGCTTAAAAGCATTAAGAGCTTAATCTTTAACAGCTCAACCAACACATTTATATATTGGTGAATAAGACAAACTTAATAACAAAATTTCTTTTTAAAAATCCTCTTTAGTCACTCTTTAGTAATGACAGAAATGTGTTTTGATTTCTGCACCCATATAAGAAGGGAATATAATGTAGTTTTCTTGTGAAATAGAAAATTAGGAAAAGCTGGATTATTTGGGATATGTTACTATTAGAGAATTGCAGTAATAGTGACTGGAGGCATTACTAGAGACAGTTCATTCTGCAAGAACTGATTGTATCAGTCAGGAGCCATTTAGGAAAACAGAAGCTATGTGATTTTATTTTATTTTATTTTATTTTATTTTATTTTATTTTATTTTATTTATTTTATTTTTTTTAATTTTTATTTTTTAGTAATCTCTACACCCAACATGGGCTCGAACTTACAACCCCAAGATCAGGAGTCACATGCTCTTCCTAAGCCAACTGTTGGAAGGCTGGAAGATAGAACTGGTTAGATGACATGAACTGTGAGAGTGTAAGGAAACCCTGTAGCATTGGGGTAACAAACAAGAGGAAGTGGTGCCACCGGAATAGAAGGGCTCAGAGAGGGGGCTACCATCTCAGGAGCTACCATAATCTCAAGAACTAAGATCATGAAGAAGGACCACTGCTTCCAGCCCGGCACCATGGAGGTGGGGGGTGGGGGGTAGGGAGTGGGAGGAATTGCCCCATCAGACGCACCGCCAAGGAACAGGAGCAACAATGGGAGAGTGGGGAAAAGGGCCCCTCTTCAAGCCATCTGATGTCACCTGTGACTCCTGTTGGCAGAAGCCTAACAAGGGGCCAAGTGGCAAAGGACTCTGGGAAATGCATATTGCAGAGTATAGAAGGATGGGCATAGAGCTAAGAGGTAAATAATGTGCTCATTGCCTGTCTACTTTCTGGATGGTAGTTCTGGCTAAGTCACCATTTTCCTCGGCTTCCCTTAAAGTGTTGTTCACTTTGTATTGATAATCTAAGAAGGGTAAAAGTTGAGACAAAATAAAAGTAAATTTTGCCCGATTCAGTTTGTTGTTATTCTTCAGTAAATAGTAATAATAAGAAGAAGAAATAATAACCTATGTGAAGAATTTTGGTGTTGTGTTAATGAAGTTATGTTGGTTTGCCTGTGTGTTAGAAAGAATGTCATCACAGATTTTGCCCAATTAATTCAAATGAATGTCACTTGCTAGAGAGAATTGACCAAGAAATCAGTGGAAACTCAGATTCAGGCAATTAAATGTTGATATAATTAGCACCCTAAGTTATTTTACTTTTTGAACTTTTCACATCATTTCCTTGTTTAAGGGTGAAATATTGTGACCTGAGTTTCTGAGCCTCCTGAGAAATCTAACAACATCTTTAGCAAATGGATATTTATAAGGTTTCCATAATTAAAACTTTCTTTTTCTTGCATCATATGTCACCTGTTTACCATGTGGGTCATGAGAAAATAAAAACGTTTCTGTCCTCTAATGAAAAGACAGACTTGCCAGTAAGGAAGGAAATTGCCTTGACCTTGGATAAATTGTTACCGTGTGTAGTTTTTGTAGAGTGAAAGGAAGTTCATTCACATAAGACATGGGCATTTGAACGGAGTTAAGGCAAGAGGTTCACCTGCTAAAAAATCCATCATTTTCTGCCTCGGAATGCTTTTATTAACTATGCAGATTGAGACCCAGGCTTTCTGTGCTGTTGTCAGTGTTAAACAACAGGCCCTCTCAAAAGAAAGCAACAGATCATTCTCTCCTTCCAAAAGGAGGCAAACAGGCTTCAAATTGCCAAGATGGGGGTGCCTGGCTGGCTCCATCAGTTAAGAGCGTGTGACTCTTGATGTCTGGGTTGTTAGTTCGAGCCCCACGTTGGATATAGAGATTACATAAAAATAACATCTTAAAAAAATTGCCAAGGTGTTTCACATTGCCGCTTAAGATTTTTCCAAGGAGTTTACTGAGTATGTCTAACACACTCATCGTTTTCTGTGTAGCTTAGATGTAGGCAGAAACCACCTACTAGAACATTCTTCACATGGCAAATTCGTCATATGTAGCTGTTAATCACATTAAATATTTATTTACCCCTTTGAATAATACCTTATCAACGATAGACTATGTGAAGTCTTTCTGTAAAAAGAATAATGATTCGGTTTTTAATTTTTGTCTCTCTAGTAGTCTCAAATATGATTTGACACCTGGGATCACTAAATTATGAATTATAGTTAAGAGGTTGTAGGCTTGGGAACTAGACTACCTGGTTCTCATCCCCACTCTGCCATTTCTAGATGTGTAACTTTGGGCAAATTACTTAATTTTTCTGTACCTCTGTTGTTTCATCTGTAAAATGGGGATAGTTATGTACTTCAGTGAGGTATTTTGAGATTCAGCAAGTTAATACGAAAAATTAGAAGTTCTGTAATTATAAGTTAGGCTTGGTAGGGGTTTGGTTTTGGGTTTGGTTACGTCCTAGAGGAAGCAAGAACATTGGAATACTGATTTTTGGGGGCCATGCTTTGTTTCCAGTACGCAGATCTGAATCGTCATGTCGATGCGTTGAATGCGTGGAGAAACGCCACTGTGCTGAAACCAGAGCACAGTTTGGCCTGGAACAACATGATCATACTCCTTGACAATACAGGTACGGAAAGGTGAATTAAATACATTGGAGGAAATGGAGCCATGATGCGGTGCCATTGAATACTTAGGAAACAGATTAGCGTGCTTTTTCTTTCTCTAGTGTGTATTAGTTTTAAAAAAATAATATGGAGTAATACAAAAATGTCTGTTCTTCTAGAAGACAGAGTTTCCTTTGACCTATTGAAACAGGTATGTGTGGGAAAATGACACTTTACTTGGAATTAGTGCTGAGCCAGGGGTGAAGATGGGTGCTAAGATCTCGTTTCGTCTGAAGTGTGTTATCTAGCATTGCCCGTCCCCATGCTAGAAGCACCAAAAGAGCAAAAATGGCTTCTGGGTTTTCGACCTGTGAAGACCATGCTCTAAAGTTCATGGACTGTTGTCAAAGGAGATGCCCTCAAACCTACAGTCAGAGTCATGGGTTCTTCTTTTAGATAGGATGCTAACAGACTTGATGATGTGGTTCCTCAGCCCAGATCTTAGCTCGGTCAACCAGGAGTTACCCTGCTCCCCTACTTTTGAAAATCCAAACAGCCCATAAGAAATGATAGTTTTAATTTGGCAGAATTTCAAGCTAGTGAGCCATCTAAGCAGTGCTTCTAATGAAAATACAAAATGTATACTTCGATATGATAAATACTCAGTTATGAAAGTGTTACTGTGGATACTCTTATGGTGCAGACTTGTTTTCTCCGATGTGGGTATAACTGGTATCTGGGAAAAAATTAAAACTAGGTTTTATATGCTTTTAAAGAATTTAATCAAAAGCTGTTTGTATATTATGTTAGAATTGCACTACACTGCAGTATCTTTGCAATTTATGGGGTTGTGTGTGTGTGTGTGTGTGTGTGTGTGTGTGTGTGTGGTGAGTATGTATACGTGTGTGTTGTGCTATGTGTATGTGTGTTATCTGTGTGCATGTGTGTTATGTGTATATGTGTGTGATGTGTGTGTTGTGTGTTTGTATATGTGTGTGCTGTGTGTGTGTTATCTATAGACGTGTGTTATGTGTTGTGTGTATATATATATGTGTATGTTGTGCTGCGTATATGTAATGTTTGTGTATTGTGTGTATGTATATGTGTGTTGTGCTGTGTGTATGTGTGTTATCTGTGCATTATGTGTGTTACGTGTTGTGTATGTATGTGTTGTGCTGTATGTGTATTATGTGTTGTGTGTATGTGTATGTTGTGTGTATGTATATGTGTGTGCTGTGCTGTATGTATGTATCATCTGTGTATATGTGTGTTATGTGCCATGTGTGTATGTGTCTGTGTTGTGTGTATGTGTGTGTGTGTGCTGTGTGTATGTATGTGTTATCTGTGTGTGTGTGTGTTCTGTGTTGTGTGTATGTGTGTGGTGTTTGTGTGTATATTGCATGTGTATATGTGTGTTATGCATTCTTCATTGATTTTCTTAAGTCATACCAGTACAATGTTAACATGTTTTTTTTTTTTAATTTTTCTATGCTTTCCTTGCAGGTAATTTAGCCCAAGCTGAAGCAGTTGGAAGAGAGGCGCTGGAATTAATACCTAATGATCACTCTCTGATGTTCTCGTTGGCAAATGTGCTGGGGAAGTCCCAGAAATACAAGGTGTGTAAACTGCAGGCCGTGATTTCTTGCAATTAATGCCAGCATCTGACAGAAGCCATAAATGTTACTTCTGCTAGGCAAAAACAGTGGGGGCAGTGTACCAGTGTGGCTTGGTCAAAAAGATGGATTTGCCCAAAAGATGGATTTGCACAGTCAGACTTTGTGTCCTTTCTCATCAGAATTCATCACCATTGCTCAAATGTGGGGTGGGGAGGAGAAGCCCAGAGAGGAGGCAGTGATGCCCCAGCCCCAACCCTGGCACGAAGTTGTTTGATTTTGTCCCTCGCAGGCAGGTGGGAGCTCTGATTTGTTGGTGCGGTCTTCTGCACAAAAAAATTCCAGCCCATGGGGAATGCAGGACTGGTTCTTGCCCATTTAGAGTTTTTCCTCATCTAGAGTTAAGCTGTAGGTCATCTGCAAGGCCCTGGAAGTGTCTGACCAGTGGAACCAAAAGATACTAGATTTAGGCTCCCAGGACTGGCCAGGAGTGACAACTGCGAATCAGAAGGCGCACGGCACCCTGTGGCCTGAAGGGGACTCTGTGTTCCTAACATCAGTGATCTCAGACTTCAAGCGTGCGGCTCAGAACCAGTGAGGGAGTGTATTAGATACAAATGCGCAGATTCCTCCCCACAGGATGCTGTCTCAGTCGACAGGGTGGAGTCAGGGACTGTGCGCTTGCAGCTAGCGTCCTAGGTTTCTAACACAGATGCTACAGAAAACACACTTTCAGATGCAGTGCCTTCATCCTCTGTGGCAGCAATTTTTCTTTCAGAATCAGGAGCTGTATCGAATGTTGATCACACCGGGCCTAAAGGAAGTGATTCATTCATGTGTGTTCCATGTTACCTAACTTCTCCTCTGCTCATCACATACCATTATCGGCATAGTTTTCCAAAACAACAGTAAGATAGTACATGCATGTCTCATTTTTAAATATCAGGGAGTTTGATGGCCCTGGTTAATATTTTGATGTTTCTAGATTTTGCTCCAGAGATGACTTTTTGAGGGGGTTAATTTTTATTTTTTATGGACTTACCAGTATAGAACCAGGGAAAGAAGGCAAGTTTTGTGGTTTTCCCTTCTACCGACCTCTCCAGGCATCCCCGTCAGCCTGGGACGGGTTGGGAGTGTCCAGTGACCAGCTACAGCCAGTCATTTTCAAGATGCAGCCTATGTAACCATTGTGTTGATTTTTCTATCACCCCACAGCCTTTAAACTAGAACTCTATTAAGGTGATAGAACCCACGGTTCATTTGGCTTCCAGTTCATATCATTTTTTTTTCCCAGATAAAGTAGAAAAAACTCCATAGAGCAGAATGGAGAAATGGGTTTCCTATTTCTCTACACATTTTGCATCCTAATTGTGTGGGCCAGGGTGCTGAGCCTAAGATGAGGAAACAGAAGATGAAATCCGAAATAAGAACCTTGCAACAGTTCTGCCAACAGGAGGGACGTGATGTTACTCCCTGAGCTGTGGTGTCAGCCACCGGGTGCTTGCTTCATATATTGTTTTAAGGTCAGGATTTGGAATTTAGATTTTCCTCTCACGATGCTGCAGAAGTGACCCCCATTGCTGTTGGTCAGCTACTTCTAGCCTGTCCTTGAAGGGCACTGGGTGGGGACTCTCTGCAGAGGTGGCAAGGTAGTGGGGACTTAGGCATGGAGAGTCAGGACAGGTGTCTGCTGTCTATATAACTCACTTCGCCTAAGCCTTTGCTGTTCTGTATTATCATTAACTTGACAAATCTCATTAGTGAGCCTGGAGACTTCACGAGGGCAGAGCCCCAAGTCCCATTTTTACAACTCTTCTGCTATCCAGCGTGCTAATGGGCATTTATTAAGTGCCCGGTTACAGCTGTGAAATGGCTGAATGCTTCCCACATTTGGCCATGAAACATTCAGGCTTCCAGATTCCCTCTTAAGACATTGATGTGCACAGTGATCTGTATCTGTGCACAATGCCTTGTGCCCCTGTGATTATGGGGCAGATTGTCATCTGAGCAGCCCTGTTACCTAACAGCAGCCCCTGAAGCATCCTTTCATGGCCACCCCACTGTTACATAACCGAGATGGAAGCATAGAACCTCTCTTTCCTCCCGATGCCCCTTCTGTCAGTGTGCCATTTTTAAACTCAGGAACTTTGACTTAGTTTTTCCTCCCCCATTACCTCACTCAGCCTCCTCACACCCCCACTCAAGGTTCAGGCTCTGCCTTGCCAAGAGCGGCAGCCCCCCAAGACGGTACAAGCCCTGCTCCTCTCTCTACACATGCCACCCTGACCCCACCGTGTCCTCCAAACCTGACTCTGACTCCACGTCCTCCTGAATGGTGTCCACACTCGTGGGCATTTCAAAAATTCTTTAAACGAATCCAGAGTCCCCCGAGAACTCCTAACTTGCTTTTTCTCTCTCCATCAGTTGTCTCTAATTAACTCTGCTTCCTTTGCAAGTAGAGAAGCATTTTAAAGTAGATTTAGATTCCCTGGACTTCCTATTTCTCAGATTTTAGATTAAATGGTAATATTTGAAAGTCATCAGAAAGCGTAGGTACTTAGAAACCACTCCAAATCTATGCAATCCATTTGGTTTCTTTTTTACCAGCATACCTAATATGTCAGGAAAACCTTACACTTCCTTGAACGAGTTTCAGCAACCACAGCTTGGAACGTAGACATTGACTCTGAGCTCCGGAAGTGCTGTTTGCTGACATCTTGTCTTCATTCAGTCCTTTTTGGACAACATCTCCAAAATATAAAATTTTCTCTGCCAGCTCTCTCTAAAAAGGTTGTGGCTTCAGAGCTGTTTGCCCAAATGCCCGACCTGTTTCTCAGGAGTACCATGGGCCATCACAGGGCAAGGAAATTGGTCCTTCTACACTTTATAAAATGCACGATCCTAGATATTTTCCAGGAAGCCCGCCTGGAAAATTCACAGAAGGTGCAGCTAGAAGGAGCAAACCTGTCCCCCATCCACCAACTTTAGTTGTTTAAGCTTACTGTCTGATACTCACTAAAGCATGTGTGGCCCTTCAGTAGCACAAATGTAGACGGGTGTGAGTAGCTACCCCCGGCAGATGTCAGCAAAGAACAGTTCGGCATCTTTATCTCCCAGCATTATGGTAGAACGGGACCATCCAGGCAGCCATGGTCACATGATGATCAGGTAAAAAAACACTTGGCCGTGCCTTTTCGCAGCCCGATTGGAAATGAGCACTATTTGGAGGAAATGCAAGTCTATACAAGAACCAGTTCACACACACCAGGGGCATTTGGTCATGGTCACATACAATCCTGCGACTGCTTACGTGACAGGTAGTTGTCTCTCCCTGCTTCTCCCTGCTTATTTTTTTCCAGCTGAATGAGCCCCTTCTCGATTGCTGAGGGGTTGTGAGTCTTGGGGGGATTAAATCGGCCCCAGCTTCTACCTTGAGAATCCTAGAAATGAATTCATTGATGCTGAATGAAAATGACGCTTTTATGGGTGTCCTCAACAGCCTAGCCCTTTCCTGGTCATTTGACTCTGGCTCATCCTCCACTGCACCCTGAATCGAGCTACTTGCTTCAAGTTGCAAACTTTCAGCCACTTTTGGGAGGCAGGTGGCAAAGCTCATTAGCATATTCGTGCTCTCTCTGCAGTCACCATTGCTCTCCGTTGCCCATCTTCCCCTCACTATTGTTCTGTCCCCTTTGCCCTGTCACACACTTCCCTGATTGCCCTTCAGAACCTCTTAACGGGGTATGGCCCCGCTGGCCTTCCCAAATGTTTCTGGGAGAAGGATGCAGTGTCACAAAACAACGTTTGAACAGTTTTAAATGTTTGAAAACTGTACACAGCAAAACTGTGTGTTGCTTTTGCATCGTGCAATACCTTATTTTTTATATCATTCTTCAGGAATCTGAAGCTTTATTCCTCAAAGCAATTAAAGCTCATCCAAATGCTGCAAGTTACCATGGCAATTTGGGTAAGGAAAATTTTCAATTTGAATCATATCAAAAGTCCGTGTAAGTTTAAAGAAATGGGTGCATTCTGTAATATCAATGTAGAGAAAGTAGTTTTTAACAAATCTAGCCTGCATTGGTCTTTATAATCTGGTTCTAAGATGTGGGTTTTTTTTTTAAGTTTATTTATTTATTTTGAGAGAGAGAGAGAGAGAGCAAGCAAAGAGGGAGGGACAGGATCCCAAGCATTCTTCGTGCTGTCAGCCCCATGTGGGGCTCAATCCCACAAACCATGAGATCATGATCTGAGTCGAGATCAAGAGTCAGATGCTTAACCGACTGAGCCACCCAGGTGCCCCTCTAAGATGTGTTTTTTTTTAAAGAAATTATTACATTAAAAAGGTAGCAAAATAGTAGTCCTATGTATAAGTTGTAACTGTATGACCAGACCAACACCCAAAATTCCCCACTCAGTTTATCCCCTTCTTATGATAAACTTCGAGTTTCTTTCTTTGTGTGAAAGATCCTAGAATGTTAAACACAGAATTACTTTGGAAGTTTCTGGTCTAACTTACATCCTTTCCTTTATTCCATAGAGGACCTTCCATTATAGCCTGGTCTCCACTGTGTTCTTATGTTCTCTTAGGTACATTTACAGGGGCGCCTAGGTGGCTCAGTCCTTTAAGCGTCTGACTTTGGCTCAGGTCATGATCTCACAGTTCATGGGTTCGAGCCACACATCAGGCTCTGTGCTGACAGCTCAGAGCCTGGAGCCTGCTTCAGATTCTGTGTCTCCCTCTCTCTCTGCCCCTTCCCCATTCACATTCTGTCTCTCTCTCTCTCAAAATGAAGAAAGATTTTTTTAAAAAAGGTTATAAAAAAACAAAATAAAATTAAGGTGCATTTACAATTATTTATTCTCTAGAATTCCTTTTTCCATTTTTATATCTCAATAATTACCATTTTTAGAGTGTCATGTCAATGCTTAGAATGCTCAGCATGTGACTATGTTTTCACCAAATCAGTTCCCTACAGACTCTGTAGCTACTCATCATGAAAGTCACAAAGCAGCAATAGTTACTCTTCCGCCCATGTAAAAAATTAGTTTCACTTACAAAATCATGATAATAATCAGACACTTACCATTCTAATAGATTTTAACTATCATTTTATGGTCAGATCTTGATGTGAGTGCCCTTATTCCTAGCTAGCAACAAACAAGCTAGTATTTTGACAAAAGATGTAGGGGAATCATTATTCAGATGCTGGACTTGGCGCATGGTCGGGGCCCTGAGACATACCAGAGCCCAGCCATATCCAGCCTGACTTCCTGGAACTTTCATGGCAACTTTGAGAACCTTGATGTAATCTTAGTTTCCTTCTTTATGTAATAATGTTGCTGTAAGAAGATGGGTCATATCTAGTGATCTGCAGAACCCCAGGAGTAACGGGAGGTGGTTAAACAGACAATCACCAGGGAGTGTGGTTATTAAATAAAGTTTGCAGCACAAACAATATTATTTGAAACAATGATTTTTGAAAACTGTGTGTGTGTGTGTGTGTGTGTGTGTGTGTGTGTGTGTGTGTGTATTGGCACAAGTGGTTGGGAATACTGTAAGGTATTCAGAAGCATTTCCAATGAAATCCCTCTCTTGCTATTTCAGCTGTGCTTTATCATCGTTGGGGACATCTAGACTTGGCCAAAAAACACTATGAAATCTCTCTGCAGCTTGACCCCACTGCATCAGGAACTAAGGAGAATTATAGTCTATTAAGAAGAAAGCTAGAACAAAAGCAAAAGAAAGACGTCTGATCCTTTTTCCTTCATTTTTTGTTTGTGTGCATGAGGCGTATCATTAATATATGGTTGTGTTTAACCATTTAAAAGTCCTACATGTTGTTTATTCGACTGTTTTTTTTTCTATGAAAACACGCAAAAAGACACGCAAAAAGATTACAGCACCAGCAGTATACTCTTCTTGAATGCTCGATGTGGTTTTTGCATTGAAATTGTATTTTTTCAGACTACTCAAATGTAAATCCTAAAATTCCAAAAATGAAATCTTTTTTAATTAAAAAGAAAAAAAGAGAAAAAAAATTAGGTGGAGCAGAATGTAAAATTAAACCTGCATATGGGGTGTGAGCCACGTTGTACAGAGACTAACACTATTAAATGTCAGTTGTGAACAAGAAATCATAAATGGACTCCCACGGTTTATATAAATATCGAATATGTCTGTATATTAGAATTTTTATTTAATGACAAGAAAAAGTAAATTAAGATTTTTGTTTATCTTTTTTTAACAATAGACTATGAATTTCCCTTGTAAGGAAATATATTTATTTGTATTTTTATGTTTTAAACAGGGCAAATAATTGAATGAAGAATGGAAATTTTAACATCTAGTATATTTATATACTTTCCCGTCATTGGAAGACTCACTCCTGCAATCATTTTTGGATTCTCCGATTTGTGCAGCTTCATGACAAAGGAAATTATGTAGTATTCACATTCTATATAAGCTGTTGGTATTAATAGTAAATTCAAGCCATGCTTTAGGCAAAAGCAGGCAGTCAGCCTGATGTTTTTGTTTTTGTTATATACAGTATTAAGAGGGTTACATATCTCTGTAAGTTGCTTTTTTTAAGTTTTTAGCTATAAGGCAGTGTTCTGTTCGGCTTAATGGAACCACAGTCATTACTATATTCAGGAAATGCAAGAGGTAGATTTTGTCTTAAAAAGAGCCACATTTGGGGAATTTGTGGTATTTTTAAGAATTGAATTTTTTTCTATTTTATTTGATCAAGATAATCCTTTTTGCTTTATTCTTCTGTATATGGTGTTGACCTAATGCTTTATGCAACCTCTATAATATCTTATGCAGTAAAATTATTACACAGGCTGGTATAAAAATGTATTGCCTTCTTAATAGGTGATTTTCAAGTTCATGAACTTTGTGTCTTCCTTTCCCTTAAAATGAAATCCAAGTGACCAATTCATCCTTTTTCATATGTGGCTTCTCTTTGGTGTTAGAGACCATTTAATACAATTGTCCTCTATCCAAGTTTAGAGAATGGGAGGAACGGATCCACAATGAGATGAATTTAATTCTCTACACTCACATTTTGGGGAGCAGATCCGCAATGAATTGTAATTTACAAATTGTGACTTATGATGGTTGAGGTACATCAGGAAAGAAAGTACTGGTGTGTGACATACATCAGAAAAGGAAGTGCTGTGTTTCAAACATTTTTTAAGTGGTCCCAAAATAACAGTAACAATTTATAGATCTCTTAGGGGCGGGAGCTGTCTTATTCTTATTTATGTTCCTACAGTGCTTAGCTCAACAGATAATAGATGCACTATATGCTTGTCGATCTTTGTTTTGAAAGCAAATTTCTTTCTTTATAACAGTACTTGCCTTTTGAGAGTAAAGAAAAATATTTATTGTAAAAGCTCCTTCAGGAGTTTTTTTCCTACCAATACTAAAACTTTAGTGTCAAACCAAGACATGCACATCCGGGACCCCTGCCTACAGAAGGAATCCCCTTAGCTTCCACTGCCCCATCTCTCAGGATTTCCATTATGGCTGTCTTCTCTGCAGAGAAAACAGTCATTAATTTGATTGATACTTCAGGCAGTCTTCTGTCTCCGCAGATCTTGGAAGTGCACCATGCTGGCGCTGGCCCTTTTCTCTCCACCTTGAGGTGGCCACCCTCTGCTTCTTGGGTTTCCTTCCCAACAAGCGGGAAGTGGGAGTCTGTCTCTCATTTCCCCTCTTATTTTATTTTAATGTTTTCAGTGCTAATCACAGTAGGAGGTGGAGTGGGGGGGGGGGG